TGACCCCGCCCCCTCCCTCCTCGCTGGAAAGCCCGGCCCCGCCTGCGCCCGCCCCCGGCTCCGCCTCCCGCCCGCCCCGCCAGCTGCTCTCGCCTCCGCCTGCGTGCTCGTCCGGAGGAGCAGCTCGCCGAGGCCGCGGAGCTGCGTCCCCAGCGGTGAGTCTGCTGACCCGGGCAGGGTGGGCTGGGGGCACGGGGACGGCGGGTCTGGCGCCCCGGGAAACACCCCGCAGGGCGCGGAAAGGAATGCGCGAGGGGGCCGCCAGGGAAAGCACGGAAGAGGCCGAGGCAGGCTTGCAAGTCGGAGGTGCGGGTGGGCCCGGGCGCAGGGGGCTGAGCCTCCACTCCCAGCCCCCTAGCCCTCCCGAATATTTCCAAAGATCTGGGGCGGGAGCGCGCGGAAACCGCCGCCATGCGCCCTCCCTCGCCGGCGGCCCCGGGCTACGCAGGCACTGGAGACCCATCACCCAACTCTGGGTTCCCCGTGACCCTTACGTGGGGACTAGGGAGGGGCAGCCTTCCTGACTTGAGAAGGGGCTGGGATCTTGGCGGCCGGCGGGGAGAATGGACTGCCCTGGTGGCTCACCCTGGGACTCGAGCCTGGTCCAGGCAAGCGGTGAGCACTCTGTTTGGCATAGATTACGCAAGCATATGAAGTGCCTAGGAGCCCAGGCCCCCTGCGTTGGGCCACCTGGTCCCTTCTCATCCCTGGGGACCGGGGTAGACTCCTACCTCTTCTGCCGGCCGAGAGTCACTGGATGCCCTGCATTCTCAGAAGTCAGCACCCGAGCCTGGGGGAGGAGTTCGCAGTCTGGGTCCTGGATGGCACTGCCCCCAGAGAGGCACTGGCTGCCCTCGACGACTCCCTTCATCCGACCGTACTCATGCCTGTCCAGTCCACCCCAGACGACCCAGCCCAGCTGAGCCTGCTCAGTTGGGTGCCTGGCAGTGGATGGTGGGGATGCTATGGTTGTGACTGTGGCTTTTCACACCAGAGCTTCTGTGAGGACAGCTCAGGGCTCCTCCATGCCCAGAGCTAACTTGAGGGAAGAGGCGGAGACAGACTCCTTCCTCCCTGAACCACCTGCATCCAGGGAGAGGCCCCAGCTGGCCGGACACTGTTCTTGGATATCTGCAGTGTTTGCTCCCGACCCCAAGATGTCAGCCCAGGCCTAGGGCTGGGCAGGAGAGGCCTGGGGCCCGTTCATTCTCAGGGTCTCCACCAGCCCTCTCCCCAAATCTGTTCTCTCCTTGGCGTTCTTCCTCCCAATGCCTGGGAAGTAGCTCTCCAGGCCCAGAATGTCCCTCCCCCACCCAGGAGTCCACATTAGGCCTCAGACTCCTCCTCCCACATGACACCTCCTGCTAAACACGACCAGAACCCAGCTGGCCACATTCAAAGTGCTTTCTGCACCCACTGCCACGCATGTCTGGCCAAGGGGTCCTGGAGCAGAGCACAGGGCAGCCCCCACCGACTCACACCCACCTGGCCGAGTCTCCCACCTGGTGGAGACTCACCAGTAGCCTGTTTCCCAGCCACAAAATGGGGCAATAGATACTTAATGGGGTCTTCGGCACTGGAAAACATACAGAATGTTTGAGCCTCCCCAGGCCGAAGCTGCCCTAGGCAGGTGCTCCGCTAGATAAGCTAGCATGTGCCAGTCCAGCCCCTGGGTCCCCACATGGAGCTGGTCAATGGAAAGTTCTGGAAGCCGGTGTGCATTCCTGGTCACCCTCCCCCACCCCTAGGACCACCGGCGGCCATCCTGGCCTGCCTTTCTGTGCTTCCAGGAACGTTAATGAGTTCCCTTATCTGGCCTCTAGTGCTGCCCTCCCACCAGCAGCAGCAGCCACAGGCTTGGGCAGGGGTCTCAGCTAGAAGGAGTCTTCACCGAGTGAGGGGAGGTTAGGATGGAACAGAAAGACCCCTTGTTCCCGCCCTACTATCAGAAGTTACGAGTCCCGCTCCTGTCTACAGAGTGAGGACCCCGGGCTCCCAGGGCCACTGGTACTGCTGGGAGCCAGGGCCCTCCTCCCATGAGCTGTGTCTCTCTAGAACACAGGGCTTGGCTTTCTTGGCGTTGTGACACCCAGACGGGAGCCTGTCCTGTCCAGAATGAAGGTCTTCCTGTCCGTGCTGCTGGTGGCCCTTCTGGGTGTGGAGCAAGGTGAGATGCCCTCAGAGCCCCAGGCCTTTGGCTGGCTGTGCTCTCCCCCCAGACTCCCTGTCCCCTTTCTCTGCCGAAGAGTGCCCAGGGGTCCTTTGAGTCCATTTCCGTTGCTCTGTGCAACCTAAGAGGTGCCCCTCCAAGCGGTCAATCCTCCATCCCGTTCCCGCTGGAGGCTTCATCCCTGCTCGTGAAACCCTGCATTTGAACGTCGCCTACAGCATGTCCCCTCCTTCCACAGCCCACTCCTTGGTGTGCTTCTCTTGCACGAATCAGAACAGCAATTTCTACTGCCTGAAGCCCACCATCTGCTCCGACTCTGACAACTACTGCGTGACCGTATCTGCCGCCGCTGGCATTGGTGAGTGCTGGCCCAGGCAGCCAGGCCTCCAGCCTCGACCCCAGCCCCAGCCCCTCTGCCTCTCTACTCACAGCCTCGTTTTCCGGTGCAGGGAACGTGGTGGACTTTGGCCACAGCCTGAACAAGGGCTGCTCCCCAGTGTGCCCTGCCCCCCCAAACATCAACGTCGGCGTGGCATCCATGGGTACCTACTGCTGCCAGAGCTTCCTGTGCAACATCAGCGCAGCCGATGGCGGGCTGCGGGCCAGCGCGGCTGTGCTGGGCCTCGGGCTGCTGCTCAGCCTGCTGTCGGCTTTGCTGCGGCTTGGCCCCTGACCACCTGGACCCTGTGCCCAGCCCTGACCCCCGCAGCTCAGGAAGGAAGGCCCAGCCCCGCCCAGACCCCTCAGCTCCTGCCTGATCCCACCTCCTTGGCCCAGTCCCCACCATCAGGCCTGCCCCCTGCACCTGTACCTGCCCCCATAGGGGTCCGCTACCCTCACTGCCTCACTTCCGGGGTCAATGATACGACCTTCCTCCGGGAGCCTGAGAAGGGATGAGGGTCCGTCTGGAGTCTGTGGGTCTCAGAGTCAGAACTGAGTCACACTGAGATGGGTACCTAAGTCCTGGGCCCTGTCCCCGTCCAGGCCCTGTCCGTTCCAGACAGTGGTGTGTAAGATGTGCTTTGTGCCACTGTGTCTTAGAAGGGGGAACCTCCTGTGGTTGTGAATACCCCCAGCTGTGTGGGGCAGGTCATTGTGTGGCCTTCTTGGCTCTGCTTGGGGAAGAAGTGGGGGGTAAGCAGCCCTGAAAACCCCGAACTCCAACACCAGGGCCATTCTTGGGCATTCTGTACCCTACATTCCACCCACTCGATGGCAGGGATTACACTGCATCCAGGTCTAGGCTGCTGGACCCAGAAATCATCTCCTACCCCCAAAGCCAGCCGGAGCCTCCGCCCCTGCCCCCCACACTGGAGCCCTTCTGCTGCTTTGGTGCTTCAAGTAAACTTGGATGTTCCCACCCCTTCCTGCTCTGCTGTGATTGCCTGTTGCGCCCATGTCTGGGAGCTTCCCTTCCAGCCATGTCCTGATGTTGGGGGGCCTGGGGATCCCATGTGGTACAGCCCCTCACTGAGGCCCACTTGGGGACGGTGGGGGACAGACGTGCCCCAAGCCCACAGCTAGCTGCTTGTGAGGCCTGGAAGGGAACCTCCACCCCATTTCTTTCACGTTCTGCTTCTGAGGAAAGCGTGGGGTTGGGCGGGAGAGAAGGTGGGGCACTTGCAGGAACATGCCCGTGGGACGGGCTCTGGCTCCCAGGGTTCTGGGACTTGAGGTCAGGATGCCAGGGCTAGTCGGCCAAGGAGGACATGGAAAAACCTAGCTGGGCGAGCAGGAGCTTATTAGCAAGTGCCTGAGCAATACCTCTGCCCTGAAGGCTTGTGGGAGGAGCAGCTGGGGCTCCACCGGAGAAGGCCTTCGACCCCGGCTAGAGTGCCCATCTCCCCTTGGCGAGCCTACTGTGGTCTGAAGGGTCTGCTGTGGGTGAGGTGGATTCCAGCCAGGGGGCTCCTTTGGGCTGGAGGGTTGAAAAGGAGCAATGAGTGAGTGGAGCCAGACGCTCTGCGGGGTCAATCTGTTTATTTCTCAGGATGCTCCCGGATGGTGGGGCAGGTCCAGGGCCACTCAGCTCCCCACCCAGGTCGTCCCAGGCTGGCCAGATATGCCTGTGTTCAGGGCCCAAGGCACACTGTCCAGTGGGGTGGGACTGTGGCCACCACAGGGGCTCAGGCCTCTTACCCATCTGGGCCCCCTGAGATCAGGGACAGGTGAGGAGCTTTGCACAGGGCAGTCGCTGAAACGCATGAATGCAGTGTTGTCATCATCACCACTAGGTGATGTTAATCTGTTACTACTCTTCCTACAACTCCAGCAGTGATGGAGCCAGAGGGCGGGGAGGAACAGCCCCCAAGCAGGCAGACAGGAGGGGGTCTGCCCTGGGAGGGAAGGCAAGGGGAAGGAAACACGGGCCCAGCCAGCGGCATGTGGAAGGATCCCAGAGCACACCGGAGCAGCCTGGCTGAGACTCGGTGGGGAGTGAAAATGCGATGCACTTGAGTGGGTCAGACCAGCATTGAATGAAAGAAAAAAATTCAAAGGGCTAGAAATCAGAATGTCCCCAGGAGCGCTGGTGACTGTCACCAGAGGAGGTGATAATCTGTGTTCACAATCTTCACCCAAATGAACCGCAGGCGGCTTTGCTGAAGTAACTAAGACCTTTGAACCCAGAGAGGCTGGGCAATGTCTGGGGCGGGCGACAAGAAGCTGCATGGGTGGACTGCAGGCGTCTGGAATTGACTCGGGACACTGGGAGCCACGGGGCCGAGCCATTGGCAGGACACCTGTGGAAGAACGCTCTTCCTGCTGGTACCTAAGCCCCCACTCTTGGCATCTACCACTTTCCAGGTGATAATCTGTTATTACTCTTCCTATAACTACACTGAGAGGTGGCTATGGTTATCCCCAGTTGACAGAGGTGGAAACAGGCTCAGAGGGTTGCAGCCACTTGCCCTGATGCATGTGACCCTGGGGACCCAGAGTTCCCTCTGCTCTGGGTTGGAGGGCAAAGTCCCTCTAGGGCTGGGGTCCAAAGCAGCCTTGATCTCCTGGGGTTGGCTGGTGGTGCTCCAGGTTCCTGCT